AGGGGGAATGAGTAGGAGGGTGTAGGAGTGGGGCAGTGTATGCAGTAGTTTAGATGTTCGATTTGAAAGTTTCACCCTGGCCGACTTTCGCGCCAACAAGGTCAGCGCTTCCACCACGCCTTATCGCAGCGTTTTATGATATCCGAGGTCATCTAATCTGCTTATTTGCAAAAACTATTGCAAAAGTGTTGAAAGTAATGTTGGTGTCTTGTTTGGTCACTATTGTTCCGTTTCAACTTTATCTTTTATGGTTTTTAGAAAAAAAAGAAAGTCTCCTATCTAGTGCCTCGCTTCCTGTACTGGCCGCTGGCGTCCTGGGTTGTTTTGATTCGGTAGGTTTTGATTTCTAAGATATACCGGTGAATGAGTAAGCACTTGTAAGACTAAGAACAGATTGTATGTCATTACTAAAGTCGTGAACTTTCACATTACAAAATCAACCCATACTGGAAGTTTTCTTATTTGACTTTACCTTGTCTCACAAGGAGGAAGATATGTCTGAACTGACGTCATTATTACGTAATTCGGTAATTGCGCTGGCGGAAGCCTCGGCACCTCTCGAGGGACCAATCATAATGTACCAGGAGTTAAGGTGAGTGACAGCTGCGTAATGGTGTCTGTTACTCCGGGAAGACATGATTGGCTCATTGGCTCTTGCCCATTTCTCAGCCAAACTTTCTCATACTTTTATTCGCCAAGCGTTTGAAATTCTAAGCCGTACGTGTTCCTGCTTTATTTACTACGGCCTCTTTGGTCTTGTTTAGTCTTACCGAACCAATATTCTGTTGTTTTCTACAAGCAAAAGCTTACTTTGCACGTAAAACGATAGAACATTTTATTTCAAAATTCCTCCGTTAGTTTTTGACAGTATGATCCCAAAATATATATTAAAAAGATTTCAGGGAGTCGATTAATCTTTGAATCATTTTTTTTTTTTAGTACTGCCTAGACCTTCGTGTCAGAAATGCATTGCCTCGGCTCTGAGTACTAGTGTTGTTATTATAGCTGATTTGGCTGTTCTTGTTTTAGTACTTCGTCTCGATATCTAGAGGTACTTATGGGTGTACTCTGGGAGATAGTAGTCCATTCCAGTTCCTCTGTGCGCTGCTGTGCGGCTCCTTTATTTACTGTAAGTGAACTCATTCAAATGAGTGCTATGTGATGATTCATTTATTAGTTGAAAAGTCAATCACAGGAGAATTACTCCAAGCTCCAGAGACCTGTTTGATTTTTATTTTCGCTATTAGAAGGTTTTTGAGAATTTTCTACTTAACGTAAATGGGACAAACTTTCGAGAAACCTGGTCGCACAAATACGACGTGTCAGAATCCAACACTGATGGCAGGAATCAATCATAGACCATAATTTCTCGTTTTCTGTGTTGTCCAGACCAACAAACGAGACACATCAAGTACTCGTGCATGTAATGTCCGAAAAATGTTGTTGTGACGCATGAGTAACACCCCAGTCACACCTTGCGAATACTTTCCGCTTGCTTCTCACTGTGCGTTAAAGTCGAAAATCGACATATTGTAAATTGTACTTGTATATAAGCAAGCTTATTTACCCCACTTGTGAAAACTCCTTGATGAAGTCTGCTATTGTCAGACGAAACGCGTAGGAGATTAAACTAAATTTTTACTATTTTAGTTCGTGCAGTGTTGCTCACTTATTTATCAGTAGAAAAGTTTTAAAAAAGTTTCGTGTAATGAATGTAAGATACCGTCGTATTTTTCACCCTTTGCAGGTGTTAATGAAAGGTGTTGACCTGGATTTAATCAGCAGAAAGGTTCTACCAGCCCTAGTAACTTTAGCTTCAGATTCACAAATGTAAGTGAAAAGACGTGTTATCAAAATATTCTTCACCCTTTTGCTCTAGTTCGTGATAAAATATTGATTAGAAACTTTTAATATCATTTCTTTCAGGTCAGTGAGGACGGCGTCGATTCCAGCGTTTGGCGCAATAGTGGAAAATGTCACTGATAAAATGGTAGATACACATGAAATCTGTTATCGCCATTGTTCTAAGAGAATTAATTTTAGTTCACGAGTGAAAGATACTCCGAGTTTAGCCCTGTATGAAACGATAAACCGTTAATTAAAGTTCAACCACGTCACTTATCGGGAGCGCCTTGAATATGACGCTCTGAAGGCAACAACGGAGGGATGGCGAATTTGGGACGGGAGATACGTTTAGATAAATACAATTATACCACTCATGGGGGGGAGGGCTTTTTAAGTGTCGGTGAGGCGGGGGGACTGTGGGTGCATTACAACATTACAGGCTTGTAACATGGATTTTACGGTATTTTTTTTTTATATAAATTTGATTTGATTTGCGTCTGCAGATTTTAGAAAAAGTTTATGTACAGTTCCAGTCGTTTCTTGAAGACCCACAATACAGAGATCAACATGAGCTACAGACTACCATGATAAGAACGTTTGGCAAAGTCGCCCCTCATGCAGAGCCACATTTCAGAGATGAAGGTGTGCTAGAATTAAATCTTAGATTTTCAGTTGGAAATATTCTCATTTAGTGAGATGTCCTGACAGTTCAAAGAAGTAAAAAAAGACAAAGAAGGCGACAGACCTCTCATAAATAGCGAGCTATATTTTTATCCTTTTTTTTATTTATGCATGTTAAGTAAATTAGCCTTCCTGGTCTCGTCAATATGTCCAAAATCAATTGAATTTTCACTACAAAGCGAGGCATAGAAGGCTCATCCGCATGTTCGTAAAAGAATGTTATTCATGCCCGCCGCTATGAAAGTAGTCTGTTATCCAGGACATAGAGGATAAAACTGTGAAGACTTGCCCTTTTACGCCCTAATTTTTCGGAAAAATGCACGGAATTCTCTTATTTGGAAATAGACAGCATTTTGATCCAAAGTATGTTGCTCATTACGATGTTTTTCGTTTATCAGTTCTCTTACCACGGTTGGTTGTGATGGCAACAATCAACAACCAATCGCAAGACGATACGAGACGGAGGGAGATTGCGTTGGAGCTAATGGAAGCTTACGTGTCTTTGACGTGTTGTTGTATCCTTTTCATTACTTTGGGAAGCTCATGTTTAATATTATTATCTGTCGATTAGTTCCATCTTTACTTCACATATTCTGGGTTCTTATTTGAGTTTGGTTTCAAGTCCACAATCCCTTTGTTGCTATACATATGCCAATAGTTGTCGTCATGTTCATCTCACTAATCCATGTTGCCGATGAACTCAGTGCAAAGAGCTGACTTTTTGGGTCTGAGTTCTAAATTTTTACATGTTAGATTGCGCTTCACTCCCATAGTCTCGTGCTGCGCTACCATCAACATTTTTTCTCGCTGATTTTTTTGTCGAAGGCGTCAAGTGTGGTTATAAAGTTGGACAAGATGGTCAATTTTAAGCTTGATCATTAAACATCTGGCGCGAGAGCAAAACGATTCACCCAATCTTTGCTTTGTTTTAGCCGGCGTTACCTTAAACTGTTTACATTTCTTATCTAATACGCAACGCACCTGAATTATTATTTTTTCTTTATTTTCCACCTCAACTCATCTTATTTTTGTCCAGTCGAGACATTTTAAGCGAAAAGATGACGAAATAAGTTGTTTTGGACTTTTTTCTTTAACTGTTCTTTGTCATCTCTATTGACGTGTTAAATGATTACATCATTCCAGGACTCCGTGCGGTTAAACAGGATATCGAGGCCCTGGCTCCAGAATGCGAGGTTGGGCCTAATTGAATTCTTAAATGTCACGGCACATTGGCCATGTCGTTGTTTTGAAAAACTTAACTTAAAAAAAAAAACAAACAAACAGAACCTGCATATTGGTGTTACGCACTCTTCAAAATCCAAATCTTTCTCCTGAAAAAGCAAACAAATGTGACCAATGACCAACTGGGTGGAACGTTTACTGGCAACTTGCGATCAGTTATGTCCAAGTTTATCCATCTTTACAAATTTTGCCTACATTTTTCAAATTTGCCGTTTTTAATCCTTGTGAATCTCCCCCATCCTTACCAACCTTTGTTACCTCTTGTTTATTATTGTATTTTTCTTGTATTTTATAATCTTTTAGAACATTATCAGGTTCACCTTCGGCTCGTGATTTGTAAGCTTTCCTCGTGTTCTCTCAACATCCCGCTAGCTTAGTCACGTTATAAAGCCCGGGAAAATGTGTTCCAGGACTTAATTGCTCGTGATTTTGTTGTTTTAACAGGAAACTGTCCATGTACTTCTCAAAGAATGCGAGGTTAAGGCTGACCAGAAAGCACTCTCACAGTAATGATCTGCTTTGAATACACCGAATGCAAATATGGCGTCCAATTTGAATTGCCATTGTTCTGGACTGACTAGCCTCTCACACATGTAATAATCCTTTTGTGTTTCCACGTGAAGACGAGGCTAGTCAGTCCAGAACAATGGCAATTCAAATTGGACCCCATATTTGCATTCGGTGTATAACCAATCAGTTTCCTTGTTTTGCCTTGATTTTGCGTTTGATTCTGAAATATAAATAACTTTTTTTTCTTTTTTTCAAGCCTTCCTGCGGGTAGCAAGATAGGACAAGAAATTAAAAGCACGTTTATAAGTGGATTCCATCGATTAAAAGATGCACAGCGACCAAAAATGGCGGACATTTTTAAGAAGAAAGATCGCTTTGACTCATGACAAACGCAGCGTCTCCCGATTCTCCAATAACCTCGGTCAGCGGTACTCTGGTAACCATGGATTCTTGGCTCGAAGCCGTGGTGAAAATTGATAATCAGAAGTGACACTCAAGTGTGGGAAGAATTTTAAAGAATTACTCGAGCCGTAATGGTCGAATACCAAGGCCGAAGATTCATGGCATACTTTATCGATTTTGAAAGAGATTACAACAGAATTAAACGTAAATATTGGTATATCTGATAAGTATGACAAAACCAAGCGATATCTGGCTTTGCAAAAGAAACGGTTATGCGAAGTTCAGGCTCAGTAGGACAGTGCACTTATCATAGTTTCTCCATCCGCTCTTACCTGCCGCGAGAATTTTAAGAGCGGTTCGTCAGTTATAAGATGCGCCTGTCTTTACAAAGTGAACGGCCATCTTCTAAGTTTAGTATGAGTTTTCTGTGTTTCAAGTTTGTTAGACTCTTATTGGTAACGTAGCGATCGTAACTATAACGACCATCATCGTAAGGGGCGTTTATATTGTATTCTCATAGAGACACCTATGATCGGAATATTTCGTACGATTGAGATGATTTTTTTATACTTGTGTGGTAATCCGTAAAATTGTACGTATTTCCCTTTACATGAACTTAACTGGATGTGCCCCAACAAGAAGTGGGTAACACCCGGTGTTATTCTCGTAGCGATATTCTATAATTTTCCCACCTTATTTTCGATCTAACGAAGTCTCTGTTCAAAACTTGAAGCGTTTGTCTGCCATTACAGATGAAGAATTACACTGAAAACTGTTTATAAACGTTTTTTGTTGCGCGCTAAAAGAAAAATAATATTCAATTACGAAAACAACAGCTTCCATTTGGAGCGACAGCTTTGCATTCGGGAAACTGCTCTCTTCCCGGAACTGACACTCATCGTGAACAAATATAGTAAATTTTCGCAGCAGTTGGAAACTATCGTCACTTTATCGTGCCAGGTTAAGCCGATTAATTTTTGAACTTTTCATACCAGTAACTTGCAGTTTGTAGTATTTCCAAGGTGATGTAAATCTGAATGTTATAAACGGGTTTGTCATTGCGAGCTTAACCTTTACACTATTGTAGTTATGCTTCGGTCTTTAGCTCTGGAGTTACAGCATGACATTTGTTCCGCGTACGGTTTCAATGCAAATCCAAACAGAATGATGAAAGAATTTTGATTTTTAATGCCAAAGAAGATTTTAATCGTGGGCTCGATTTGAACTATATATCAGGACTGTGAAGAGTAAAATTTGTGACGGGGCTAGAACTGTTCACAGCTTTCAAAAATCGTTGTTAGGCCTCACGTTTACAGATTGTATCTCAGATGTCTGGTACACATTTGAATGTGTTTCTTGCCTGATATATTAATGATAGTAAACAGTCGTAGGGATCTTTAACAATAAATTCGGCTGTAGCACTTTTGATATCGCATTTTACGTATTTGTTAAAATTTCTTTTCAATCTTTAACTATTTTCGTTCGTTAAAATAATTAAACTAAAATTGACTCTAAAGGGTATATTTTGTAGACTTTCACACAGAAATACTTTAATACTCTAATGTAAATAGAATTAAAATTACCATGCAGAGACAGTGAATAAAATGAATCTTTTTTTTTTCAGAGAGGTATTTTAATGAGCTCTTTTTGATTGGCTCCTATGGTTTGGGAAACATGTCCAAAAAACATAAAGGCGCTGCCAGGATTTGTAATAGATATGTTTTCAGTAAGATAATGTGAAGTGGAGTTGTAGCCTGCAGTGAAGGTGTCTTATAAGGGCGAGTTCACGTTGAGAAGCTCCAATCGTTTATTCAACTGGCCATACTTGATTTGGAGATACAGGTGACAATGGGGGGAGGGGGCGGAGAAAGCCAAAACATTTACTTCTCCACCCTACCCTTTTCCCTAGTTGTGACCGTCGCTTACCCCCCTTAGTACATATTTCTATCCTCCCCCAGCCTTCCGCTGCCATTAAAATCTCCGGTCATGTTTGGTTTGGAGATACAAGTGACGGTGGGTGGGGGGAGAGGACGGAGAAAGGCGAAATATTCACTACCCCACATCCACCCCTCTCCTTAGTTGTGAGCGTCGCTTACTCCCCTTAGTATATATTTTTATCCTCCCCAGCCTTCCGCTGTCATTAAAATTAAAGATGGCGGCCATAGTCTTCGCTTAGAAAATACTGAGCACTCACTCGCCAAAAAAACAAAAACAAAAAAACAAAAAGAAAAACAAAAAAACAAAAAAAACAGGAAAGAAATCTTGTCCACTCCATGTTGCCCATACAACTCAGTTTACATCAAAGTAGGAGCGAGTGCTATTTTTGTCGAAACTGTATGTTGACCACATGAAAGTGTACACGACGGTACGTTACTAAATGCTTTGTTTTTCATCGCTTATGTTATGGCATATAGCGTTTTGGTGCATGTTGATGCCTTTCTGTCAGTTCTTACTTATCACAAGCACGTGTCAAAGTTGTTCATCTTTCACTTCATGAATTCTCCTGGACTCGGTTTTAGGTGCGTCTAGTCTAAAAGGAATATATTTGCCTTCGTCCATTTCAGACACAAAAACATTACAGGCCTCAGTTTTACCAATGCTGGTTATTGTGTTTCCTCTGTAGCGACCAGCTTCAGTACTATTGCTATCCTTTCTTCGCGGTGTAAAAAACTTCCTTGACAGTCTTGCCAAAATCTCAAAGAAAGCTCTTCTGAAATGCCGGCTTCTCCAGCAATAAATCACAGGATTAGCAAAAGACGAGGTGAAAGTTAAAATTTTTACGAAGGCATTTAAAATACTCTGTTTTCTTCGGAATGACTCCGAAAAACATTGCGGACAGGTCTTAAGTAGAAAGTAATAGAAGCAAGAAGGAAACCAGGTGGCCACGAAGACTCCAATAACAATTAAAATTGTGGTACTCGCTTTCCGTTCGTTGGTTTGTCGCGGTCTTTTAGTTTTAATATTTCCTAGGCTCTTTCTGTCACTCATTATCTTCTTTATATGCGACCTGGCAGTTAGATACAAGTAGCTATAGCAGGTTGTTATAATTACAAATGGCAAGATAACGTTGGTTACAATGACCATGATGCTCCACCAACGAGTAGGTTCGTAATTGCACTCCATATAAGGAGAATCTGGCTCCCATGGTACAAACGGTAGCAGTGATATTACTATTGCGTCAAACCAAGTGAGAAACAAACCTATGATAACTCGTTTGTGTGTGACAACAGTTGCGTATCTCAGCGGCCACTTAACGGCGAGTAGGCGCTCTACGCTAATGACAGACAGGCTCAGTATAGAAGCGTAACCGGTGAGGAAATACGAAAAACGGAATACGTCGCATACGATGACATCGATAGATTCTGTCATGGAAAACTTTTTAAGGATGTAGCTGGGCATGGCGAATATTCCTGCTAAGAAGTCTGCGATCGCCAAACTGAACACAGACAGATAGGTGACGCTGTGAAGGGCTGGTTTAATGAGGATCGCTGTGAATACCAAACTGTTTCCAAGCACAGTGCCAAGCGATAAAAATGACAGAATTATAACCACGGGTGTAACAGGCAATCTGTCTTTGATATCCATATGGACCCCTGTGGATATATTGCTGTTATTCATCTTGAAGTTATCTGGTGTGGGAGCAGATATCATTCTATAAGATGATGTTTTCATTCATTTTAACAGCTGTTTCAAAAGATTCTTCGATGTTTCAATTTTAAATGTAAATTTCTTTTATATCTACCCTCAAGGCAATCAACTTTTAAATGAAGCCCTTTGCAATGTCGACGAATGTTTTAAGCGCAAAATCTGAACTCAAATCCTCGCATGAAAGATAAAATCACTATTTTCATGCTGCCAGCTTACGGATTGTGAAAAAGACTCAGGTTTTTTTTTTTTAAGTCACCTGATTCTTGCAAATCTTTTGCCAAGGGTTGTTAAAGTCATATTTGAAGGGAAACGTGAAAATGAAAAAAGCGAGCAAATATTTAAGGCCTATAGTTTAATGAGCTCAAAAGAGATCGATCAAGTTTCCATTATTTTACTCTGGGCTTGAAAAATCACCCTGCGATATTCCAGCCATGATTTCATGAACGAGAAAAAATAAATGAAATTCACGCAGGTTTCTTTATGCGTGATAAGAATAAAATAATAGCGCCTAGGGGTCTCATCCTAGCTTTTATAGTTGTATCTTGCTGATAATTTTCTTCCCTAAATACATTTCTACTTCTTTCCAGGTCTTATAAGCATCGCCACTTCGTTTGAACAATAAGGTGAAATATTCGACTTGAATATAAATCTCAACTTGAGTGATTTTAGAAACAGAAATTTTTTTAGGTGAGAAACATTTGTTATGAACAATTTTACATCTAAAATAAAGAGTCTCAATGCTGGCTGACGGTTAGAATTTGTGGCCATTTTACCACTAGCGGTTGAAAGGAAAAAATTAACAGCTAACGTTTTTTGTGACGGACGGTTAAAACTTGTCAATATTTATGCCCAACTCATTGTTAAATTTTCATTCAGAGCTTCTAGATATAACCACCAACTCAACTAGAGAATTTAAAATTTTCAGAAATATTTTGCACTTACTGGCCAGCAGTAGTGTCGTGCAAATCAAAATACCTTAAGAAAAAATTACTTGAGGAGTGGTCACTTTTACACCTCCGCTGTATCGTGTATATTTGTGCACACCAGTTCGGTCTCCCCCGAGGATCTTCTAGGGGGAATTTTTCACATAACTTTTACAGTTCCTAACTTTTTTACCTACGAAAGCGAGCCAGAAGTTTCATTTTCCGAACAATATCTTTACTTAGAGATTATTTGACATTCTTTTCATTATAAAAATAGATTAAAATTTCGTGTCAAGAATTTGTCATTGGATGAACTAGATTAATTCAGAGCGAAGGAAGGCATCTCACTTGAAAACAGACAGAATATTAAGGTGGACAAATGAGCCATGATTATGAAAAGAATTCTCCATGTTCAAGAACATTTCCCTTTTGTTAGCTTGTCACAAGATACAAATTTGAGGTTGTCAGAGCAGAAACAGTCTAAATAAATATCAGTTTACTTAGTGAAAGTCTTTTCTCTATATAAGACTGTGGTAAAAGCTCTCGTTTTCAAATGTAGGAAGGCTCCCTGAATTAAATGTTGCATCTCCTTCTAAAGCAGTTATTTGGAAAATGTTTATGTCGCAAGTTGACTGAGGATGGAATACCCCGTGACGGTGGAAGATATGGAAAAACCATAAAATGACTGACGAAAAACGGGGTAACCAGTTTATAAAAAAAAACAATTTTTCTCTCTCATCTCACATTTTCGTATTGTTATTCACTTTCAAATTCTATCAGTTCTTATATTGAAACCTTAACGGTTCTTCTTGTGTTTGATTGCGGTCAAGACACTATTTTAACTCCTGAATCACTCTATAGCTAGTTGCGATGTTCACGAAAATTCCCTTAACTCTCTGTGAACAAATGGCAAATGAAATTTTTTAAAATCCCAATCAATCGCTTGCAACCTTGAAACTCCTGGAATAGAAATATAATAATAATAATGATATCAATACTCACACCGCGCGCTCTCTTGGTTAAAACATCTGAGTCATATTAAAGTTTATATCGTTGTAACACGTCCGGCGTTCGTAAAACGCAATAAATTATTACCAATTGTCTTTGTAAAATTGAATCTCGATGTTTTCAAAGAGATGTTTGGATTTTAGTTTAGAAATTATTAATGGCAAAAGATATGCCCTTAAGCAGCTGTTGCCAGTTGTTTGAACAGAAGTGTTTCCTTGAAGCGTTCGCAGTTGACTTCACACTGTTTACATTTTTTCGTACAACTAACACGCGCGTGTTCAAAAGTCAGATCTGGAAAAAACTTCGAATCAGTACTCTGAAGCTTTAAGGAGCGTAACTTATAAACATTCTCTATATTACACTGTCAAAGTAATTGCAGGTCATGATAGATATCTTTTATTTTGATATATTTCGTAAAATTTACATTTATTTTTGAAATCGGTCTTATCAGTCATAGGATTGCCTTCTGTCAGTGCATTTTCAGCCAATCACATTTTGCTTAAGCTCGTATTTGCATGAAAGTAACGCAAAATAAATCAGAGGATGCTTAGACAAATAATACCCCTTCCCAGATACAATATTGCTTTTTCTATCATCATGAATGACTTTTTTCGGAGTGAGGATATATCTTTTTTAGCTTCCTCTTCACGGAGCGACTCGGAAATAAATGAATTAACAAAGATAAAAACTATTGCTTTATTCAGTGTTTGATCTACTTGGGCCAGCGCGAATTCATTCTTGAATTTTGGGATCAGTGAAGGTGGTTCGAAGGAAGTTCGTGATGAAAATCGTAATGTTTTATCGAGAAGGTCACTTGTTGTTGTTTTTTTTTTTTTCGGAAAGAACTGATCAGTTGCAATGGCATATATTGATTCAGGTTTCATTATATTGCATAGCTTCCCTGGTACAAATTCTTATTGAGTTTGCAGCTGATGGAATTGTGGTGCAAATTTTTTTCTTTCCTCCGAAATAAGAGTATTCAGTGACAGCTCAACGCAAGGGTTTTGGGAGAAAAATTTGAAAACATTCGAAATATTAAGTTATCTAAGTATACTTCGCTGCGTACCTACTGGAAGAAAGATAAAGGTTGGCTTAAATATTTATTAAACTAGTTCCCTTCCAAATGGTTTTAAATTCGAAGGGCAAAAGTTGCATTACCTAATTATAAAGAAGAAAAGGTACTCATAAAAATCCGGATCATGAGACTTTTGATAAATCAATTTGCGCACAAAAATATCCTGCTTTTGGACAATTTACTTGGGTCTGTAATTTCACTTGTAAAGTTTTTGTTTTGTTATACTTAGAACACATAAAAAACCTCGTGCATGTTAGATGACAATGATGCACTACATGAAACAGTGACAAATTGCGTTTGTGAAGGAGAGCCTTAATCGAACTGGGGAAGTGAATTTCAAATAACTTTAAATGTAAGGAACAGCTATGATAAGCGGGTTTCGTAAAGATTAAAGACAGCTTCCTAAAAGCCATTCAAATTACGGTGTTGTCGTCCCCTACTTTGGCTAATGTGGTTGGTCCTTTTGAGTATTAGTGACCACAATTTAAACTAAAATCATGGACGGGAAAATCATAAATAAATATTTTTTCAATTTCTCCAGGTTGACGTCGGTGAAATGACATTCAAAACTAACAAGAAAAGAAAGAAAGGAAATCGGAAAGCCGCTGCAAATGCAAAGCAAAGCATAGAGGGCGGTCATTAAAAATATACATTTCTGTCGGGACGATCAAAAGTGCTAATGAGAAATGAGGTCATTGTTCTGAAAGGGGAAATGAAATAATGTTCGAAATACTCGTGGAATGATAATGAAGAACTCTGTGCCAGTTAAAAAAAATGTTGATAAGAAATCAATAAAGCCTGAAAAACACATACGTAAAAATAAAACCACTAATGATCTTTGTCTGTGTTTCGTTGATTTAAACTCTACCGAGTTTTTATTTCTCGGGGCACCGATAAATATATAAATAAATGAATGAAAATGGAACTAAACCACGTCAGTGTTGTTTACCATTTTGAGAAAAAAAGAGATTGGGTTGATTTAAAATTGCTCTTTAAAAGGAAGAATCGAATTTATTTTCTTTCTTTTTTTTTTTTCTATCCCTTTTTAAAAGGAGTATTTTAAAATGTTTTGTTTTGATTGCTTGGTCTGTGGAGTCTTACCTACTGATGTCAAAATAATAATTTCATCACCGCCACGGGCAAAAATAAACTACATAAAAAGTATGGATGACAAACAACGAAATTCTCCCTTCGAATGAACAATTTGGCCTTTATTATGCAGCAAGAAGGAACGGTTAAGAGAAAAGTGTTCGTAATGATGGTTGTTTTTGCTGTTATCATTAACGAAGTTTTAGCCTTTGTGTACATTTTCAGCGCGGCCGTTTACATTTAGTATGACTTACAGATCAGGAAGATAGGCAAATGAAACGAAGCTACAGAAACATTTTTCGTAAACAAGAAAAGTTATTTACTCTTATTTAGTTTTCACTTACCTTAAATAAGCAATGCACGCAGGTTAAATTGTAGAGCTTCGACCTCGATTCAATCGATCGATCGACCGACGGTTTGTGGAAGGACTGAGATACTGCGTGTGTTTAAAAGCCACTATTAGCTGAGAAGATGGCAATGGATATTAGTGATATTTGTCATATAGTCGATTACGACTGATGGGATATGCCGCCATTACACTTTTAGAAACGTTTGAACGGCTCATGTGATAACTGAACTCGCAAGCCATTCAGTGCCTTTAGATAAATGGTCTTGGATCTGTAAAACCTACTGATCAAATTTGCAACGAGATCAATGTGTGACATTAGCTTCTTTAAAAGGCGTTCGTCCACCCGCTTACCCCGATTATTTTTCTTTTTATACCTAATGACAAATCTTGCCCCGGAGATTTGTGTCAAACAGAGATCTGACAGCTGCTATTTAAGCGAGCAAACACTGTGCAAATTTAACATTTGAATAAACCAGGACAAACCTTTCCTGCTCAAACGTGCAATATCAAATTTTTCCAAAATGAATGTTTGTAAAACGAGACCCAAATGATTCTTCGTTTCTCAAAATTTTAAAAATCGGAATTTGTTCGTCAGATGTTAATTCATGGACTGCACTCTGTTTCATGAACCTCTTTGTGACTGGCTGCACGCATTTACTTAATTAGTTTAAAATTTGCTTTTTACAAAAGCACAGCTGCCATCTTCAAATCGTAAGTGCACTAGAGTTAAATTTTGGTCGAAACGTCAAGCAAATTTTTTTTGTTTTGATGAGTCGCGATAACATAAGACTTATGATGTGAAAAACATTCTTCCTATCATATTCAGATACACTGTATGTAGTTATTCTCGGTATGGTCAATAGCCCATTTATAGCAAATGGATCCTGACCATGGTAAGGTCGATTACATTGTATCTTGATTCCGAACAGCCATAGATGTTATGCAGATTAACGCGCTTTAGTCGAATTGCTTGTTACATTGTGACGATAGCGAGCGAAAGTGTTTTGTACTTTTGAATCATATTTGTCTTTGATCATTAACTCTAAACCGCGAGATAAAATACCGTGTAGTGCTTTCTTCTCGCCCTGTCAAACACGACAAAGTGGTTAAGTGTTGCTATTGAAAATCGCATAAGCTCACGAAAATGACTTGAAGGTGATTAGCAAACACTGCTACTCAGGCACGGGTGTTAAATCTCAAATCTACTGAGAACTCTCTAATCTGAAAGGGGCTCTGACAGGTCCTCATTCCCTCTATGACATCGTAATCCAGAGGCTCTTAAAGGTGCCAAACCCCTCGTTTGTGGTATAGGGTTTTAAGTCCCCAAGTCACAAAGCGGTCCTTGTGTTATCTTTGAGTTCCAAATCGAGAGGTGGAGAGATACAAATATCTAGGTTTTTAGTTATTTTGACATTCAATTTGCAAGTGTAAGTGACAATACAAAACCCAAACTAATTCACAACAGCCAAATGATGATCATCTCTTTTTATTACAGCTCTCTAGCAACAATACTGAAGCATACATATCACTCTTTTTTGATCATTTCAACTCTCCACTCATGATCACGTCATTTGTGTCCTGCTGGAAGAAATGTAAGTTACATTTTATGAGGTTGTTTCCGATAACAATAAAGTTCTGTCAAGTTAGAAATCCTAAGACTGCTTCAAAGACAGAGAGGAAAGTGTAGCTTTCTCAATAGCATCAGGTTGCTCAACCTCGTTCCCAGGGTCTCTCATTCTCCCGCCACCTGAAGCGAGAGAGGGACAGGAAGATGAGAGACCCTGGGAACGAGGTTGCAGGTTTCTGTGAACGCTTGTTTTTTGAGTGATAGACACACAAACAGAAAGAGACGACAGAGAAATAACTACTTTTCACTAAAGCAGCTTAATTTGGGTGTAGAAGGTGTTTCGGGTTGCTTTGGTTTTGCTTCAGGCTTGCTCGCGCCACTTTCTCGCTGAACCAATCAGGTAGATCCAAAACTAAATCTGTTTGCGACTTGGTCACGCGCGTTTTTCCGCCCTTAAGACATTTGGCTTGTTTGTTCTCATATAATAGTTTTCTTGTTTTTATCGGTCCTTATGATTACTCTGATTCTTTGGGAATTCGTTAGTCAATTAAAAAGGACTCTGACCGCTCGGTTCAGTCGCATCGAGGTAAACTCAAGCTGAAGCCTTGCCGTTTTTAATAAACGACTCGTTTTCATCTTCTCGTTAACAATCTTTTAAATTAGATTTTCAACTCAGAATATTGCTTTTCTAGTGTTTAGATTGGTTTACTCAACTCCGGTTATCAGCTCATATACTTAGTCATCTTATTTGGAAATGCGGAGCTGAAAAAGGCTCCAAATATCCAATTGTTCAGGATTTAATGAAAGTTAGTAAACAATTATTTTACCAGCGCCAGGTCATGTTATGAAAGATTCAAAATTTCCGTGGATTCAGTTGTTACAGCGCGGAAAAAAAATTCAAAAGCAGCAAAAGCAGCAAAGAAAGTGACAAAGTCGGCAGAACTCAGTCGTTCTCCTTATAACCCCCCAAAAAGTAGATAAATAGTAGAGGACCAAGAAACTAAGCAAGAGAAATGGTTTCAGAGAAAAAGAGTTAAACTTAGGCATACCTTTTCACCTAACAGCTTCCACAAAAGGCGGGGCACATTTTCAGGAAGGCATTAAAGTTGCTGGGCGTGGCAAATAACTTAACATTTGTGCAGTACGAAGGATTCCACCGTGCGCAATATACGGGATTTTCATCCGTGCAATCTGCTGGTTCGCGTAGAATGCTTGCAATCTTCACTATGATGAAACAAAAAGTAAAGTTTCAATAGCCTATAGGGCGATAATTGCCAATCATAAAGGTACATACTCGTTTTTTTTCCTTTTTTTTTTCTTTTTTTGTGAATTAAATTACCCAAAATCGTGTGATGTTGATGAAACTTTAAGTGATATGATTTTGAAAATTCCCAGCCTACCTAAAACACTATTACGTCAAGATAACAGTTGCTGTAATTTTTTTTCCAAACCAGGAACAGTGTTGCCCTATGGAGGGTAAGCCACATATGTCGTCGAGATGAGTGAGTGAGTGAGATAGTGTAACAAAAGAATTCCGATCTTGACCCCAATTTGACACTATGTTGCCCAGTGCTACTTATTGTTTTTTTTTTCCGAGTATCTTGGAGGTTGGACATTCGTACTCGATACACAGTTAAGTTCTCTCCTTCTGTGATTTCTAGATTATAGCCACTAGCACATTACGTTTTCGGTACTTGCCCTGACACTTTGGAAGATAACAGAAAGCGAAAACATCTCACAATCATTTCAGGATTGTGTGCGATATGAAACCAAAGTTTTTCCCAGAGAAACATCTGAATAGGTGTGATCGGTGTATCATAAAACTTGAAAGAGAAAGCATTTTACCGTTTAAATCGGCAAATTATGTGGATCCGAAAAAAAAGGGTAACTTCTCAAAGTAATTTCACGATGGCACTCCACTGACGCCGATAATTGAAATCGTAACTTTTCCTTGCAGAAATATCTTAATAGACGTGATCTATACATCAGGCAAACTTTGCAGAGATTTTTTTCTTTGAAAAGAGAGCATTTTACTGTTCGAGTCAGCGTTTTCTGCCGAAAAGGACAGCTAAGGGTCCAAGCGCACTAGGCAAATTTTTGTTTATCTTGCGAAAAAATCTGTCATCAGTTCAGTGAAACAAGTGCGCATGCTGATTTTTTATCCTATCAAATTTTGTCAAGCTTTACCGATCAGTACTAAGGATACTCAAAATACAACTATTATGGCTCCCAAGTTTAAGTTTTAGCCGAGTTCCTGGGTTCAAGTACTGCTCAATATGTATATCCATAATATCCAAATTATTTCGTTACCTCCACCGAAGCAGCCCCAAACAGTTTCTATCAGCCTATATCCATAATATTTTGTTGTTTTTCGGTGCACTCACGATTGAAAAATTGAAAATTCTCCGGAGACAAATTTTGTCGAGATATTTTGGCGGTACAAGACAAATTCTACCAGCTATGAGTGTCCGGACTTTAATTTGCGAAGCCAGTAGTGGTAGTAGCGAAGCCAGTAACTCAATAGTGTACGCTGTGGTGTTTACCATTTGTTAATTATTGGTTGAGACATTAGAGAATATGAGAGCAACACGCACACACTCACACAAAAAATAGATCGTGAAAGACCAAAAATATGTTCTTAGAACAATTTGTTCTGTACAGTTACCTTTCTTCTTGATTGAGGCAGAGTTGGCCTCTAGCAATAAACAGGCGAACAGCGAATAAAGGAGGAACATCTTCATGGTAAAACGTTAGCGACTTTTTTTTACACTTGTGATACGACGAAGTTCACTTCTCTTCTGTCTTTGTGAAAAGAAGTCCTAATTTTATACCTTCTAATTCATAAGAGATGGCAGGTAGCATCATATTTCCCTAAAAAATGTAATTATTTATTTATCAAATTATATATTTGATAGTGATCTACTCATAATATCCTTATCTTTCGTTTAACCTTTTAACCAAGCAAACCATTAGGGACTCCCCATTGTCAGTTCTTTGATGCATAGTGTGCCGAAAGTCGCAGAGTAGTTAAACTATTTTGAATGTACTTAGTAAAGCTGACTCAAACGAAAAATTTGCGTCCCTCTTTTTTTTTCCCCACAAGTCCATCACCTCGTGAAAAAAAAAAGATTAGTGCTGAGCAGCTTCTATTTCGTACTCAA